CCTTTCTTCCTGCGCCATGTTTTCTTGGACTCTCTCGAAAAGGCAAACGTGTCGAAGAATGGAACAGATCCGGGGTACGTACGAAGAAAGAAAGTAAGAAAGAAAGGAAGAAAGAAAAAGGAAAGGAAAGGAAAGGAAAAAAAAAAGGAAAAAGGAAAAAAAAAAAAAAAGTAGGGAACCCCATTTACGGCACAATGGGCTCCTTTGAAGCCAAAGGTAATGAAGGTTTCGGGGTGTCTGTCTCGGTCCCTCTTGCGGACCGATTCACAATCTGACCACCCCTTACGGCACGCACAGGCTACCAATATACCGGGTGTTCTAACAATTTTTCTCTTTGCATTTTCTACCAATCGAAAATGAAAACTTACGGAAAAATCATTTCTAAATCGACAATTTTCAATCAAATATTTCTATTTTCATTGAAAATACTTTTCACAAACATTATACTAAGAATATTCTAATTGGTGAAGTGAGTAGAATAAATTTACATTGTAATAAAAAATAATCTGTGAAAGAAGAAGAAGAATAGAGGTGTCCTCGTATAGAATCGGAACCAGTTTCCCGTAGCACGTTTGTACCCGTACGAATATCCCGTTGGTATGCACTCCGCGCCATAATACACCATAAGAAATTTACCGCTCTGTAACCAGTGACGGTGTGTGTGCATATATGCCGGCTGTCCCCGCAAGAGGAAGGGGGAGAGAGGAGAGAAAGAGAGAGAGAGAGAGGGAGGTAGAATATACCCGAGGTTTGGAAAAGACGAGGTGCTCGAGTACTCCGCTACAAAAGTGAGTGAGTGAGTGAAAGAGTAAAAGAGAGGGATCTCAATGTATATGTGAGGCCCGTCTGGCCCTTCCTTCCACGCACCGGGCTCCAGCAAAACGTAATTATGCTAATACACGATTGGTTCGAAAATGTTAAATGCACGAGGCTCAGCACCGCGGGCTACCATGCCTCTCATCCCGATTGGTCTCCTCTTTCTACTCCTTTTCTTCCATCCTCACGCCCTCTCTCTCTCTCTCTCTCTCTCTCTCTCTTTCCCTCTCTTTACATTGGACGCAGATATTTATGGAATCTTCTCCATCTCGCGTTCGCTGCATTCCGCTTGAACCTCAGAGCTCAAAGATCTGCTCAGCTTCGAATTTCTCTTAGCACAAACGTTTCAATCTTCCTTTACCATCCTCCTTACGATCGATGTTTCCAAGCCACGCGAGCGACCACCTTCTCCCTCAAATTGTTTCAAATGTTTCCATTTTGTGAATTATTTTTAGTTATTTCATGTAAATTTCATTTTTTTTTTTTTTGTATAGAAACAATATCGAGTTTTATTTCACATTAAAAAACCGAAATGACTTTCTTGCCAATCCAATATATTACTCAATGTTTCTATGTTTAATGACAAAACTTAAACAATATCGATTAATCGACGTCACTTTGAGGAATACTTGACGTGCCTAATCGTGATTGGCTAGCTATCATGCATGCATACACATACATACATCGATGTATATCATACTTAACAATAATGTAATCACCTCGAATGGAAGAAAATTGTTATAAAATTGCTATAAAATTGCACGATCGAGCGAAACTGAGCGTCGAAGGTTAGAAAGAGAAACAAGAAACGAAGATGTGTATGTATGTATGTGTGTGCGTGTGTGTGTGTGTATGAGAGAGAGAGAGAGAGAGAGAGAGAGAGAAANGAGAGAGAGAGAGAGAGAGAGAAATAAAAAGAGTGAACGCGCGCGCGAGGGCCACCTCTCGAGCAGAACCAATGGCCGCCACGTCAGCTGCCATTTCGATGGAAATGCGATGGATGTCCGGCTATTTTGTATGATAAAATGTTGGCACAAAAAAAGCGCGGGACCAAGTGCGGGACTTAGTGGTCGAAAAGTTTTCGATATGCGCCGGACGTCTTCCAGGAACGTTTATCGACTTATCGATCGTCGTTCGATTAAGATAGTCTTCGAGAGAAGGAGAACTTTGACGAGAAAAACAAAACAAAAATCTAACTGGAGAGGAAAAAGTGTAACAGGTAGTAGTAGGGATACATTCGTGAGCTTAAATTCCAAGTACAGATAGCCCTCCTATAACACGGTAAGTAAGTTCCTAGAAAATGTCGTGTTGTGTGAGACCGAGAGCCAATACAAAAAGGAGGATTAGAAATACAGGGTGGTTGTTGAAGTACAGTGTTGTACAAAGGTTTTTTTCAAAGGAACACGTGTTATAGGATTCCGTGTTACAGTAGGGCTACTTGTGTATATAAATATCTAATTAAAAATAAGAAAATTATAGGTTGCAATTGTATCGAATATTATTACAATGTAACCGTGTTCTAGGATGCTGTGTTATAGGAGGATTCCCACAATTTATGAATCGTGTTATAGGAGGGCTCCCTGTATATATATATATATCTAATTAAAAATAAAAAAATTATATTCGATTTAAATTGTATTAAATATTATTACGATGTAACTTACCTTTTCGAGTTCGAGGAGATGAAATCGAAGGACTTGAATCGCTTGAACCATCTGTAAAAAGAAAAGGAAAAAAAGATAAAGAATAAGATCAATTAAAAGAACGATTTTATCGATATGCAATTTCACATGGAAATGTTTATTATTTTGAAAGAAAAGTTATACAGTAGTAGTTATATATCTATATATATATATATATTCGTTGGTATTTAAAAATACGTCGAATTTAATTATTACCGAGAGTATACGCGCTAATTGCCTGCCTAAATTCCACCACGAAAACGAATTTCCATCGATATCGGGAATAAAAATAAAAATAAGAGAGAAGAAGAAAAAAAAAAAATTATTAACGGTTAATGCGCCTTTATACGGGGGTGAATGTGAAGATGTTGAAAACAAGAGAAGGCCATTTACTCGACGACGTAATAACTTCATAATATTATCGCGTTAATTCTTCTTTCCAACGAGAAAGTAGGATAATAAAAAGCAATGTGTGCTAAAGCTTTCCAAAAAATCTCCTACTCTCTTTCCCCCCCCCTCCACTCTCCTACTGTTTTTTGTTTTTTTTTTACAGTTTTATTTTCTTTTTTATTATCTGATACAAACCGATGAGAAAAATCAAGTTTGGAAGGAGAAAGAAAGTAATCCCGATGTGTTCGGGGTCCTTCCGGCTCCGATTGGACGCCCTATCGAAAGTGCATACGCAGAAAGACCATTCGCATAATTTTTCGATACGCAACCACCACCATCGTCGTTCTTTTATTCCTTCCTTCCTTCTCTCTCTCTCTTTCTCTCTTTCTCTTTTCAAATAAAACAAGAGAGTACTATAGATACTATACGTAAAACGATGCCCCTTCTGAGCTCGCAGAAGCGCCGATTCAATTAGGCAAAGGGGCAATCTTAATTGTTAATTAACATTATATTTATGCAATTATGGCCCATTATGATTCTGCTTGGCCGATAACAAGCAGATGAGTGCATAGCATGGATAGTGCGAGGACCAACTAACAACTTCTTATTTATTTTATTTTCCTTTTTCATCGTCATGTTCGATATGCCACCAAGTTTGAGAGTCTTCCCATCGAATCGGCGCCACTTATCGTTGCCCCTTGCCTGTGTTCCTTCGGAATATTCAAACTTCAGAATTTCATTAGAATCTCTGAGACACAGCTATCGATATTTTCAACCACGATCCTATCTTCCATAGAATTTAACTAATGAGAATGTACAAAAATTATACATGACTCACATCACCCTACCCATACACATACTATCATACATATTAATACGTATAACGATAATGGCGAAGCACACCCAAAAAAAAGAAAAGCCCTACTCTCCATCTCGACACTCTCCGTACTCTTCATCGGACGATCCGGAATATGCAAAAAGAAAAAGAAAAAGGAAAGAAATAAAAGACTAAAAAAATTGAAGATGATGATATCGGTTAACGAAACTCCCGGGTGGTTTTCTGAACGAGATCGTGCGAGAAGTAACCGATTCTCCAACTCTCATCTCGTACAATGTCTTCTCTATATCCAAGTTACCCACACATATGCAACCCATACACTAATACCGTGTGTATCTACATACAATTTTCTCTCTCTCTCTCTCTCTCTCTCTCTCTCTTTCTAACGTGCACATCATAAGATCTCATTTGGAAGGTTTTGCCACGATCGTTCATCGCACGGTATTAATTAGGCTTGCGTTGCACGCAGACGAGAATCTCGAAGAAGACGAAGAGGAGCCTGAGGATAAGCAGCAGCAGTAGCAGCAACAGTAAGAGCAGGAGGAGGAGGAGGAGGAGGAGAAGGAGGTGAAGAAAGAGAAGGGGGAGGAAGAGGAGAACGTTGAAGAAAAACTGACAAAACGCAGGAAGAAGAAGCGCAGAGATGGTGTTATTTATAAGCCATCTCCGACATGGAGGACTCGGCGGAAGCAAGACGCCCTCACTTTTCTATCTTCCTTACTCTCACACACATACATTTACACATACAAGTATATTGTACCCTCTTTATCCTTGTTTTTCTTCTTCGAGTGCAAGACGTGGTAGACTTTCTTCTTCTTCTTCTTCTTTACGTCTATCTGCGCTCGCTCGCTTGCTCGCTCGGTGAAACGCAACGCAGCGTGAAGCTCGCTGCACTCGCCCGTTGCACTGCACTCGCTCGCTATTTGATGCATGCGCAAGATATGTGTTGGGCGCACGTACGCAACTAAATGACCATCTCTCTCTCTCTCTCTCTTTCTCATTTGTGTTCATCTCTTCTTTTCATACACATAGGTAAAGAAGTTTCTCTTTCTTCGCACCTTTGAACAATATTCCCTTTGACGATGAATGGGGATCTTCACCATCCGTGAAGATGTTTTGAGACAATTAAGTTTCCCTTTTTCTCATTTTATTTTTGTATCTTTGTTTAAATCTAATTTAAAAAATATATATATATATAT